GATAACATGTATGTGCAGCCTTGTCTTCAGAAAGTGGCACAGTGAGATGACCTCCACAGAGGTTTCTTTGCACTTCATGTTTTAGATATTTTTAAAAATGAATTAGCCGCAGCTCTCCAGCTGAGAGGATGCTCTCGGGTGTATAATCCACCCACACACAAAATGAAAACTCGTTTAAACATAATTTACTCGATAACAGAGCGCAGTTGGAAATGTAACTTCCCCACATAACTCAAAAGCTTCAAATTATACCCACTGTTTTTATCCAAATAAACTAGCAATTCCTGCTGTGTAAAATTCATAAAAATACAATCTTTTTTTACTTTCAAAGTGGAAATTAATTTGCGTTAACGTTTCTTTCATGTCTGCCAGGAGCCCGATGAACAGGAAGCACCTGATGATCAGGACTCTTCCCCTCCAGAGGACACGTCTCTGTACCCCCACTCTCCTGGGACCACACAGTTTCAGCAGGTAGTGTGTCAGGGAACCTTTACACCCTCATGACAGTCGGTGGCGTATGTTGTAACTGTATTCATGCATATTGTGCATGAAGTGGACGGTTTGTGTCAGTTTGTGTAGCCATGAATAAAGCCAGAAACAAGGCTTTACAGAATAGTTTGAAGCTTCACATTCAAATAATGTGCAGTTTAATATTTTTAGTTTTTGACTCTGCACAGTTAGAGTAATGACTAGGCTTCAATAATATTACACTATTTGTAGAATTACATTTCATTGATAGGATTGTTTCCAACTCTTTGGATCCAGACCTTTCTAAAAACTCCAGAGCCTCGTCAAGAAACCAACATGTATAATACAAAAAGAAAGATGTAATTATTTCCAAAATTCTGCTTTATTCCATATTTTTTAAGTTAAAGCTTTTAAGAAAACCACATTTTCCAAAAATGTCATGAACAGCTTATAAAGGCAAAATAAATGGCCAGGCCTTAGAGAATTGATCCTTGACTGTTCCTACAGTCTGAGATGTGCCCGGTCTAATTGTTACTGATAGGGCAGCTTAGTTTTTCTTCAGTCTGAGGAGAATCAGCCACCAAGTCATCGATGTAGAAAAGTCTGCAGCCTCTGCTTGGTCAGCTGTGATCCTTTAAGTCCTTTGACTTCTCCCGGATATGTCCGTTAAAAGATTAGGATCATTAAAGGATTAGGCTGGCAATACTCTTTTGTTTCTGTTACCGTCAACAAATCCTGTTAAAAGAGCGAAGCAAACAATGCATTAGTCCGTCTCCCAGGAAGCCACGAATCGACTCGGAATCAGACGTGTCCGTGATGATGGAGCAACATGTCACTCAGGGCGAAGCGTGGCGTGTTAGTGTTTAAATGTAACAACGGTGCTCTATGGCACAGCAACTAGATCAGGCATTGGATGAACGGACAATATGTGTTAGTGGGATTGGTTTGTTGTTGGTGGTCTTTAATAGGATTAGTCGGTGAGACTTAAAAATGACGCTCATTAAAGGGTTGAAGGTTACGTTTTATTCAATTCAACTTAAGTTACCAGATTTTACTTACTGTAACTTGGAAATGGTAATTAACAATGTTTTCAATTTTTGTAGTCAAGTTATTTTAGACGTTTACTGTTGCAGACATTTAATAAACTGAATGGAGTATTTATTAATGATTACCACATTATTTTGAAACCATTAAGAAACCTTTAGTAAAATCTATAAATGAAACATAAATGGAATGAGCAAACATTTAAATAATTTTGTTAATCATCTATTTGTTTATCAGTCTATCAAAATTACTTGTATAACTGTAATACAGATTTTAACTGATTATAATACGTTGTTAAACTGCTCCCTCTATATATGTAATGTTGATACAAAATAATTACTTGAGTATAGTGATGAGTCTCGTAAAGTTCTCATAGACTTATATACAATCTGACCAGTGGAGGCGCCCCCTGCTGGCCATTAGACAGACTGAAGGTTTAAGGCAGTAACACTGATCAGAAATTGTTGTCGCCACTTGTTTACAATCCACTGATTTCTGTCCCCTTTCCCCCCCCCTCCCCAGAACAACCACCCCCATGGGCAGCCGTACACCGGGCCTGCTGCTCAGCACATGAACAACCCTCAGCGCCCCGGTCCTGCCTCGGCCCCGACTCCAGGGCCCGCCCAGACCCCCCCCACCCCAGGCCCCCGGGCCCACTCCCGGCCCAGGCCCGCGAGCACAAGAAAACTGGGATAGCACCGAGGAGGTCGCCCCTGCACCTGCACCCGCACCCGCCCCCGCCTCCACCGCCCCCGCCCCCGCCCCCGCCCCAGCGCCTGCCCCGCCTAAGGAGTAACGTCCCGCCCCCCCCTGCTGTGCCTCGAGCCTCCATCGTCCCGCTCTCCTTCCTCTCATCCTCCGGTCAACAGAGCTCCTCGTCGGGCCTCTCTCTGTCTCTCTGTCTCTTTCTATCTCTGGCCTCAAGGCAGGGCAGAGCTGGTGGCCTCCTCCTCCTCTCCGGGCCACCTCTCGCCTGTGGGGGGGGGGGCGCTCTTCCCTGGCCTGGGGCTGCCTGACGGTGCGACAGGGGCCTGCTGGCGGCTGCAGAGGCGAGGGAGTGGAAAAGAGTTCTAATAAAGAAAATGTACCCAGAGCCGACGATGCTGATGCGCTTGTCTACACGACGAAAAGGTGTACATAGTATGTTAATGTTTTTGACTGTTCAGATCCCCCAGGAGCATAACTCTGTGTGGTTTGCTGTTGGGAGATGTTGCAGATATTATGAAAAACAAAAATGGATATTATAAATAAGAAAAATGCCCAAAAAAACCTGTAAGAAGACAACAACTCCTCTTTGTTTTATCACCCATGCTCAGCAGTAAAGTTTGTTCTACCATCGGACGGTTACTGGTCATTCAACTGTAGAAGGACGCATTGTTATTATCATAATTATATTATTATTCTTAAGCTCCTTGGCAACCTTATGACCCATGCCGAATCAACTCACGAGCTGTGGTTGGTTTTAGTGTGAGATCTGGAATGGTTGGGTGGACTTTTACGGTGTTTGGTTGATGTGAAAAAGCAGTGATGCAACATTGTTCTGAAACTCATTGCCTTTATTTTATTTTATTTTTTGTTTGTTCTGGTAATTAATTCAATCCTTTTTGAAGCTCTAGTTAATATGCTGTAACATTTAGCATGGCTTCTCACCAGAATAGTGTAGCCCGAGGGAAGACTTGTGATCATAACAACCTAAATCTGTTCTTAATCCACATCTCCAAAAGGGTGTTGTGACCCTTAGGTTTCTTTTTTTTTCGGTTTCTTTTTTTCTACTCATCTACCCTATCTACAATGAGGGTGATATTTTGAACCAATGTATGAATAAGTGGCTTTTCAATTGCACATTATAATCCTACAACTTCAACATTTGGCAGTCCGTTTTTGGTGGGATAGACAGCTTAGCTTTCATTTTTAGGAAATCTGAAAAACGAAATACATATGCAACAGAATCGCTGCACTGGGTTATCTGGTGTTTGATAGACTGTGGTTCACCTCCGTCTCTGCGATAGAGCCTAGTCGTAGACACACTCGTTGACCATCGGCCGCCTTTCTGCCGTGGAGCTGGTCAGGTTTGGCGACATGGATTTGTTTCGGGATGAAGTAACTAACCCTCGCGCTGTCGCTCCACGGAGAATAGGTTCCCCAGCAGGGTTCACCGTAAGAATAGCGGCTGGTTAGTCATGTTGCAACTCGAGCTAACTTGTAATTCTGTAGGAGTAAAAAGGTAAACATCAGTAAATACTGTATTTAATTGGTAACTTGAATGCATGTATCTTTTTCTTTTTTTTTTGTCTAAAACATACCAAATACTCCTGCAAATGAAAATATTCTGCCCATCGTATTATATTTAAATATTTTTGCTCTTATTTTATAGAATTTATTTTGTTGTATTTCACTAAAATAGAATTTGATTTAAGAGGAACATTTTTGTCCTTGTGTTATTTTTAAAGAAGATATTGACTGTACAGAGTTCTGCGCCCTGTTTTTTGCCGACTTTTGTTTTGGCCATGGTGTGACGTTGAATTCTGGAGCTACAGTCGCGATGTGGACTTTCACTTTGTGAGGTTTTTTGTGCACAGAAATATAACAAAAAAAGCATTGCGCCCTTAGCAAATAAAGAACATGGAATCTTGCCCGTGTCTCATTTTTCACATGTGGACAATAAACAGTGAACATCTGCCAAGCATCACAAGAGTTCATCCAGAAAGTCTGAAATGATACACACAATATCGATGTTTCTGCATCCAGCTCCAGAGGGAACATTTGTAATGTGGTGTATTAGGTAAAAAAGACAATGAGTAATAAAGCTGGGGAAGGGTGGTTAATATTCAGAGAAAAGATTCTGAACTTCTGAGATTAAAGTTGTGAATAAATGAGAAAATAAGAGAAATTGAATTTTCTTTGAGATTGTACATTCACAATTTTACCAAAAAACATGTAATTCTCTGAGCTTAAAATCAAATATATTTGGAAAAATTGAAGAGAAAGTATGTTTTGTGACTCCTTTGTAATGACCGCTTCATGTTTTAGTTTTACATGTACTATTTAGGATATGTGAGTAATTGAATACTTTTTCATTATGTACACGGAGCTAAAACTAATAGTGTCACACTCGAAGGTCCTGGTTATACAGTTAAATCAATGTCCCTGTAACAGTCTATAACAGTGAAGGTATGATTTATTGCAGAACCTTTGGATTAAGCTGCATGACTTTACCTAATGTGGCAACAAAATGTGCAATGTTTTAAATAGGGCGCCTAGCCTGTAATACAGGGCGGTTCTAGGGGGGGGGGGGGGGGTCAACGGGGTCCAGTGCCCCCGTAACACCGATGTTGGACCCCCCTGTGGCCCCCCTAAAAATGAAAAGTTAATGATTAAACGATTTATTGGCTGACGGAATGGTCAGAACCAGAGCTGGGCAGAACTAACGTTATTCGTCCTTCTAGTCGGACCCATTAGAGCGGTGCACTCACTTTCACTGTCCGGCTGAAGCACGCGAAAGAAAAACAAACACTTTTAATCTCGGATCAGAGGCTGTTGTATCCAAGCAAGATTGAAACCTACGTTTCGAGACACTACCACGAGAATTGAAGGTGAGTTAAACTTGTATCCGTTTAATTGTTACAAGGTAAGACTTTAGGTCAGTAAGTGTTGTTGACTAACGTTAGTTAACGTGGGCGACGTAATCAGCGACAGCAAACCTGTTGCTTTCATGAAAAGGCTCAAACGTTACTTGTGAGCTTTGCAATAATGTTTGGAAAGCTTTTAGCGTGATTATACATTCGTCTTTGTGCTATATAGTTGTGAAATGTAACTAGCGGTTATACATTTATATTCTGCGTTGCTGAAGTGTTGTCCTCCCCGTTGTGTTTGCTCTATAGTTCTTCAAAATGAAACGAAAAAAGGATATGTCCTTTTTCGCGGCAGACAGTAACACAGACACAGCAGGAAGTGCAGATTGCCACAGAGAGAGAGAGAGCCTGAGGACTTCTCAGGAGAGACTGATCTTGAAAGTGAGGGTTCAGAGCAGGGAGAGAAAGATGAAGGGTCGCAGAGTGAGACTGAGGAAAGATGTGCATCCACAAGTGCTGGAACATCAGGTTTGTGATTTTGAAATACAAATGGGCCTGCTTTAATCTTAGTTACAGTTCAAATGGTTTGTCTCTTGTAGGAGTGTGTGTGATACGAATTCATTACATTTTCCCTCGCGTCATACATTTATTAATATAGATATCTAATTTGTGGTTCTTCATTGCTCTGGTAAATGTGCATATATCATTTATAATTATCTGTTACAATTATAATAATAATAAACATATTTATTTGTGTTATCTTTCTCCACAGATATCAGCAAATGCAAAGAAGAGCCACCAATGCAACCAAACTTTAAATTGTTTCCAAGGACCTTGATGGGCGACCGGAGAAGGAGTTTCAAGGCAGACTGGTACAAGATTCACCCCTGGCTTGAGTACTCCAACATGTCAGACTCTGCTCATTGTTACGCCTGCAGACATTTTAGCCCTCCGAATAGCACAGACACTGAATTTGATTCACCTTCAGGTTTCAAAAAGGCTACATACAAAGAGGGGGGATTTGCAATCCATGCCAAATCTGAGCGGCACACGCAAGCAATAATTGCATGGAAAGACTATCGGAGAGCTGTGACATCTAATGCAACATTGGCAAATGTACTTAACAAAGAACATAACACACAGGTTCAAGAAAATCGGGAATATATAAAAACCATAGCCGAAGTGCTGCTACTTACTGCGACACAAAACATTGCTCAAAGCGGACACAATGAGTCAGCAGGCTCAGATAATAAAGGGAACTTCATGGCAATTCTAGAGACAATTGCTAACCATGACAAAGCTGTTAAAAAAAAGGTTGACTTCCATTCATAATGCAAAGTACACAAGCGAAATCATTCAGAATGAAGTTCTGTGTTGTCTTGCAGACATGGTTCGATCTGAAATAACAGAGGAAGTGAAAAACAGTGAAGTCTTTAGCATCATGGCAACTTAAACAAAAGAACAGATTTCTCTTGTAGTCAGGTACTACTTCAACGGTGCTATCCAGGAGAGTTTTCTCCATTTTGAGTCAGCAGAGAGGCTCGATGCAGCAGGGCTTACTGAAAAAATAATTCACATATTGGAAAGTCACGGTCTGGAATACAAAAACAACCTTGTAGGCCAAGCATATGATGGTGCTGCTGTCATGAGTGGTCAGCACTCAGGGGTCCAGGCTAAATATGCTTTTTATATTCATTGCAATGCTCACTGTCTAAATCTAGTTTTAGTAGATACTGTCAAAGCTGTCCCAGAAGCAGAGCAGTTCTTCTCCTTACTAGAAAAGCTATACGTCTTCACATCTGGGTCGTATGTCCACCCCAAATGGCTAGATATTCAAAGAGAGTTGTACGAAGGTGCACCAAGAGAACTCCAGCGATTGAGTGACACTCGATGGGCATGCCGATTTATATCTCTTCGTAACATTATGGATAGATTACCGGCCCTCAAGCGAGTACTGCAAGACATAGCCCAAGAACGCAATGGTGAGAGATCTATTGAGGCACGTGGTCTGCTGGCACAGTTGGATCTAGAATTCATTGTGCATCTTGTAACACTCCGTAAAGTGTTTGGAGAAACACAACTTCTCTCTGAGATGTTACAATCTTCATCCCTTGACCTTTCAAAAGCTGTTGACTTAGTTGGCTCTTTAGTTCAGACATTGAATGACTTCCGGCACGAGTCATTTTTTGATAACTTGTGGGATGAAGTGTTGAACATTTCTGAGCAATGTGGTACTGCAATACAGCCAGCAGCAAAACGACCAAAAACACTAAGCTCTAAACGTGTTGAAAGCTGTGTACCGACTACTGTTGGACAGAGAGAGACGGAACAAGATAAACACGGGTTTCGTACAGCCTTTTTCTACCCTGTCATTGATCAGATGCTCAGTGAGCTTAATAGGCGGTTTTCAAAGACAAACTGTGACATGATGAATAGCATCCAAGCTCTTAACCCCAAAAGTGATGCATTTCTGAAGAAGACAACTCTGTTTTCATTTGCTCAGTTGTATGATGCAAATATTGATGACTTGGGGCATGAACTACATCAGTTCAGCAGACTTTTAGATGGGAAAATAAAGACTGGCATGCGGAGACCTGATAGTACAGGTGAGCTGGTTCAGTTCATTGAGCCTTATAAAGAAGTGTTTTTTGAGCTCTTCAGACTCTGCAAAATAGCAGTCGCAATCCCATTCAGTTCTGCTTCCTGTGAGCGTAGTTTTTCTACATTGAAGCTGGTCAAAACTTTTCTCAGATCCACCATAACTGATGAGAGACTGAGCAATCTGGGTGTGCTTAGTATTGAGTCAAGGAGGTCAAAGGCTTTGAATCTTGACTTATTTGTTGATCGGTTTGCTAAAAGTCACAAAAACCACAGGATTTTGTTGCTGTAATGTGACATTTTGGGAAGGAAACTACAGCCTGGGATGCAGACACCCTTATACAGTAGAGAACTGTTAATTATATGGTGTTAGTGCAAAAAATGTACTATAACTTAAGCTGAAGCTAACTAATGTGTTTTATTTTGTGTAATAAAGTTGCTGAAACAAATACTGTCATCGGAATGATTCTGTTACTGAAACTAAAAACTGTAACTATCTGAAATAAATACCAATAACTGTAGTGCATTGTTTTCTTAATGCGCAATTACTTCATTTTGTCTTTTCGTTCTGCATTTATTGGGCCCCCTCTCAGAAAATTATAAGATGACTTTTTTTAGTGTGACAGCAAATGGTTGAAAAAAAAGAAGACGCTGACGGCCAAAATGATTAACTCAAGGTTTCCAATGGGAGATGTCACGGTGACAACTTCCATATCTTGCTAACATAAACAATGTTTTTTTTATTCTTGTTGTAAAGATGAATGGTATAATAGACCTATGCAAATACTTGTGGAGACATGAGCACAAATCTTTTTGATTTGCGGTCCAAGATCTAAGAATCAACCTGCTGCTGTTCAATTTGTGAACCGTTTCACACTGACTATACATTCATCTAAAGAGTTTATTTTGACTGCTTCCCAATGTTTTAATGGACAATTTATCCTGTACGAGCCAAATAAAGTCTTATTTCTCAGTTTCCCTGACTTGCCCTATTCTTTGATGGAACTGTAGTAACAGCTGACCTTTGATAATTTGCATGTATGCCCTTCTGAAATAAAACAGAAATCTGATTTATTTTTATTTTCAAACCAAAAACAAATGATTGTATTTGTACCTGTTAGAACGTGGTGAGAACAAAGCAAAAATACGTGGATCATATACTCAAAATAACTATTACAAGAACATGATTTTATGTCATTTTCTTTAATGTATCTGAACATTTGTCTTGTTGGAAGAATCGTATATAATATTCAATTATTCAGTGACTGCATATTTCAACATATGGGAATCTTTTTAAAGATCATTGAGTGTGGTAGTCCCTCTCCCAGGCACCAGGTGGCAGCAGAGAGCTACTGTTTTATTTAACAACCCTTGTCCCTCTGTCTGTGACGTTAACATTTCCCTGCTTGTTCTTACAAATCATTCATAATCTGCGTTCTTTAACGCCGTCTTTACCGGAGCAGTGCGGATGGCGCGTTTCCACTACACGGCCTCGCTCGGCCCCGCTCGGTATGGCTAGGCCTCGTTAGGACTGGCTCACTTTACCTACCCTGGTGCATGCCAGCAGCTTTTCTGTGGGTGTCTTTTTGTATTAACTGTTGTGTGTTTGGTTATGTTTCCCAGTAACTGTCACCAAGGCTGTAGTTGCCTTAATGCAGCTAGATGCAAAATACAGTAGCCTACGCCCCTCACCTCATTCATTCAATCAAGTCATGCATTTTCATTAAATGTTATACTTCTACATTTAAGTTATTCATTTCATGTTCATGATAAATGTGATCAGATCCAGTGAACTCTGTCTCAATAGAAGTATGACCAGTGCTCAAAAATTGGTGTCACATTTTTTTGTATTTTCATTGCAGGCATGAGCAGTCTGAAATAGCATGAACACATTTTGAAAATTCAGTTTGTATGCCAGTTCATGTTCAGCTTTGAACTACAGCTTGTTTTACAGTCACTCTCTGCACAGCCTCCTCACTAATTAGCCTATCTCTATGCCTGTGTGCGTTTCTCTGTGTGGAACTTGCTAAACAAGCATCGTTTGAAACCATTCATCTCCGCTCTCTCCAGCTGCTGTCATGGCAACCATGTATGACTGACAGAAAACAGACTGCAGTCTCTGAGCTCCAGTCGACCTGGACGCTTCAGAGCATGAACACACTCCTATGGGCAGACGAAGAGTTGTGATTTTGAGACACCAGGGCAACCATGACTGTGAGGTGAGAGGCCTGAATGCTATGTAGCTTACTGCTCACTTTTATGTGATTAACTCTGGACCATAATGCTAATCAAAACTATACATCTGTAAAATGTGTGTGTTTTATTTTTGGAGTTTGGGAGCATGTATTATTGCTCTTTTGTTTATGTGTTTTCTTGACAGGCACACAATTAAGCATCTGGCTTACCATCCAATGCGTTCTAGAAACAAACATCTGCAGCAGAAATGGGACAAGGCTTCATATGAATTACACAGGGAAAAGGTTAGGACAAATATTTGGTTTTTTTAAGTGACTAAATACCTGGCTATGAAATCCCATATTTTTAATGTTTCACCTCAAGCTTTTATTCCTATCTCAAACACCCAATTAGCCAACTCTTCTTTGGAATAATTCAGTGCTTTAAACGAGGTGTTTCTACAAAATGTAATTGTTTTTTTTCTCCCAAGGTGAGGTCAGCCAAACCAACAATAAACACAACTCCACAAGAGACCTATCGTCACCTTGTCAACAAACTGAAGACCAAAAAGGTTGCTGTTTTTCCACATGTTTTAAACTCAACTCACATGATGTCCATAGGCTCAGAACAAATGTGTTTGTGCTTAAATCATCCAATGATTAAACTATAAGATATTAATAGCCCAGTAGATATTCTGATGTTTTAACCTCAATTTAGAAAAGAAAATGGTTTCTTTTAACAATCATATATAATATCTCTAAGCTTAAAGAAGAAAGGACAATGACGAGGGAAAACAATATGCTTGAGGAAACAATTTCACGCATCATGAAGACAACTGGAAGAGTTGACAACAGGAATTATTATGAGCGAAAAAGGTAAGTTAAGGTTGGGAAAGAGCTATCAGTGTAAAAATACATAAAGAAGTCAGGCAACAAGTTGTATTGCCAATAAATAAGGTGGCCTCTGAAACCAAAACCCCAGTTGTAAAGCATATGTTTACTCTACATTGTAGCCTTGGCAAGGAGAAGCGACAGCTGGAGTTGCTCCGCATTACCAAGGAGAATCAAATGATACTGCTCCGTCTGAGTCAATGCAAGTCACACTATAATGTGAGGAGCTGGCATGACGACTGGCTCAAAACTCTCAAGGTGATGGATAGCATAGCACGTTACCCACAGGGAAGGACAAATCAAAAGGTTAGATCCAACTTACGTTCATTTATCAAGCACAGTCTGTCAGTTCTGCACTGCTCCTCTTAAACTTTATCATATGATCTTTTTGTATAGCATTATAATTGTATTTTATGTGCCAAATACCAGGGACAAGAGAAGCGCAGTGATTGTAATAAAGAACAAAAGATCAGCGCGGGTGAGTCGACAAACAGCCCTTCAAGCAAAAAGGCCAAGGGCAAAGCAGAATCTAAGGAAAAGAGAAAAGAAACCATAGAAAGAAGACTGACCCTGAACCAAATCCACCAAAGGAATCCACCAGATACAGCTGAGAATCCTGGTTCCTCTGACACCAATCAAATAACAGATCCATTGCCTCACACTGCTAAAATTCTCTCTGCCGATGGATCTAAAATGCCCAGCACTCTTCAAACCTAAAACACTCCAGCAGGAGACTTCAAGTCCTGCAGAGGAATAAAATGCCTTCTTCTACAAACTCGTGTTTTTCTGTACATTCATTATTCTCTGTTAATTCCACTTGAAATAGTATGATAGGTTATCCCATCTTATTGTCAATGTATTTTATTGTATCTTTATACAGTCTTGGGCTCTTATTGCGAACACACATTTTTACTTCTGAGCTGAACCGTTATATGGTCCAATATATTTGAATGTACTATTGACCCTGTTAACCTGTGAATGACTAATAAAAAGTCTTATAGTCTTATCTACAGAGAAACTGGACCTAGAAACTGTATGACATTCTTAAAGGGGACCTATCATGCAAAATGCACTTTTGTACGTCTTTTATACATGAATACGTGTCCCCGGTGTTCCAGGGAACTCACCAAGTGTCAGAAAACACAACCCTCTCTATTTTCCTCCATACCCAAATCTCTAAAAACGGGGCTGCAACGGATCTGATAAAAACTGATCCAGATTTGAACACGTTACTGACGTCAGGACGGTGGCGCTACGGCTATTGGGCCAACTCTCCACCTATCAGGGGAATGTGGGGTTGGGCCACGGCCGGCCATTGCCGCTCGAAAGTGCTGGAGTACATATGCCAGGCCAGTACTGTAATGGCGCGTTTCCACTACACGACCTCGCTCGGCCCCGCTCGGTATGGCTGGGCCTCGTTAGGACTGGCTCACTTTATGGCGCATTTCCATTACAGTTTAGGAACTGGGGTAGTATCTATAGTAACGCAGTGTAGGCGGAGCCGTGACGTGATCTTCAATGAGAACCCCAGAAAAACAACACAGCCGTTAGCTGTTAGCACTCAGAGCTCACAGCTCCTCATATATGTTCAGAAACTAGACAAAAGTTAAACAAGTACAAACCACAGACTGCCTGTGTCATGGTGAATACAGTCGCTGCTTTATTTATGTCTGTATAGGCCGTTGTTGTGAGTGTGGACGGTCGGAGCATATACTGCGTTAGCTTAGCCAATCTCCATTTAGAAAACACGCATTTTAAAAGGTTTTTCGCCTGCCGTCTGTCTGCAGACTTGACAAAGCATTAATTCATGGTTTTTACTAACCGGTATCAGTATGTTGTTACTTCGGCATCATTTTGAAATGTGTATTACAATTAAATCACGGTCAAATATGTCCATCTTGTTGTAGCCCCCTTGCCAGCGATTCTCTCTCTAGTTTAGCATACTCAGCCTGACTCAGCCTCGTTGTCTCTGGCCCTAGACCCGCGATTTTATGAGGCCAGAAAAACTGTGAATTAGGACCCGCCGGCCGGTACTAGGCCAAGTGGAAACGCAACCAAAGACGGGCCGCTGACGTCACAGCCCTCTTAAACCGTGCTCCGCGCTGTAGTGGAAACGCGCCATATGGCCCTAGACCCACGATATTATGAGGCCAGAAAAACTGTGAATTAGGACCCGCCGGCCGGTACTAGGCCAAGTGGAAACGCAACCAAAGACGGGCCGCTGACGTCACAGCCCTCTTAAACCGTGCTCCGCGCTGTAGTGGAAACGCTCCAGCAGAACAATAGCAGGGATGTCTGGGCTGGGATGAAGGCTATCACTGGCTTCAAAGGGAGAGACAGACAGACTGTGGGCACCCTGGAGAGGGCCAACGAGCTGAACACCTTCTTCAATAGGTTTAGCTCTCCGCCCGCTGCTGTCTCCTCCACCTCCACTTCTCACCTCACCTCCTCCTCTCAGCCTGGCGTCAGCATCCCCCCTCTGCTCACCACCTACACTTCACACCTCTCCTCCACCACCCAGCCTGGCTTCTGCACCCCCCCTCTGCTCACATTGCCGCTGACCCCCCCCCCCCCCCCCCCCCCCACCCTCTGCTCATCTTGCCTCAGACCCCCCCCCCCCTCTATCCCCCCTACCATCAAGCCCCCCCCCCGCTTCACTGTGAGCACAGGACAGGTCCAGAGACAGATGGAAAAACTCCACCAAGGCAAGGCTGCTGGCCCTGATGGTATCAGCCCCAGGGTCCTGAGGACCTGTGCCCGCCAGCTGGCTCGTGTTCTCCAACATCTCTACAACCTCAGCCTGCACCTGGAGACCATCCCGGTGCTGTGGAAGACGTCCTGCGTTGTTCCGGTCCCTAAAAAGACGACTCCTTCTGGGCTCAATGACTATCGCCCTGTAACACTCACATCTCATGTGATGAAGGTGCTTGAGAGACTGGTCTTGGCCCATCTCAGACCGCAGGTGAGATCATTCCTTGACCCTCTGCAATTTGCCTACCAGCCTCACCTGGGGGTGGACGATGCCATTATTTACCTGCTGCAGCGTGCTCACTCATACCTGAATGGATCGGCTTGCACTGTGAGAATCACCTTTTTTGATTTCTCCAGTGCATTCAACACGATCCAGCATCGGCTACTGAGTGACAAGCTGCAGGCTATGAGGGTAAACTCGTCCACCATCTCCTGGATTACCAACTACCTCACGGACAGACCACAGTACGTCCGGCTGGGCAGTGTGCTGTCTGATGTGGTGGTTGGTAGTATTGGAGCCCCACAGGGGACTGTGCTGTCTCCTTTCCTGTTCACCTTATACACCTCTGACTTTCAATACAACTCAGAGTCATGCCACCTGCAGAAGTTTTCGGATGACTCTGCAGTGGTAGGGTGTATAAGGGATGGACGGGAGGAGGAGTACAGAGCGCTGGTGGGTGATTTTGTTGAGTGGACTGGAAGAAATCATCTGCTTCTGAATGTGGCCAAGACCAGAGAGATGGTCATTGATTTCAGGAGGAAGAGGACATCTCCTCCTCTGCCCCTGTGCATTCTAGGAGAGGATGTGGCAGTTGTGGAGGTCTACAAGTACCTGGGAGTGCACTTAGACAATGGGCTGAACTGGAGGATCAACACTGACGCTGTGTACAAGAAGGGGATGAGCCGACTCTATTTTCTGAGGAAGCTGAGATCCTTCAACGTATGCAGCAAGATGCTGGAGATCTTCTATCAGTCTGTTGTGGCTAGTGCACTCTTCTTTGCTGCGGTCTGCCGGGGGGGCAGCATCAGAGCCGGTGACACCAGCAGGATCAATAAACTGATCAGGAAAGCTGGGTCAGTCATCGGCATCAAGCTGGACCCCTTTGAAGCTGTGGTGGAGAGGAGGACACTGAACAGGCTGTTGTCCATCATGGATAACCCCACCCATCCTCTCCACCATCCATATGATGCGACCATAAAGATTCCTGCTAAAACCAAGTAGGAAGATTACCTATTTGGGTAGTTAATGAAAGACAGCAGTGTTTATTCTCTTCCCATATCCAGATTTTTACCGTTTGGTGTGTTTTGTTCCTTGTGTGTGTGCGCAGAGACTGCAACCAGACTGTCCCCAGAGTGCTGCGAGCGGCTGGTGGAGAGCGGAGCCACAAACACCATCTTTACACTCGTCCGCTGTTGCAACAGGAGCGTCCCCTGCATGGACGTCATCACCTACTCCATCCAGATCCTCCTCAACCTCTCCAAGGTACAAACCGTGCCTGCTCTGCTCATGAAATGTTGCCATAAAAAAATGATCCGGCTATCATGCTCTTGGTGTGAAAAATAAGATAATGGAGAGAACAGTAATCTGTTAAACAGTACTTTAACATTCAAAGCTACACTTCTTCTATTGATGGGAAGGTAGGAACATATACAATATATAGCGTAGTCTTTCCTATTTTGTCCTAGTTATTGAATGGACAAAGAGTTGGGCTTTCAAAGCCAAGTTGACACTTTGGTTTGAACAGTATGTTTTTTTTTTTGGTCACAAAATGCGTAATAAGATAATATTCCAACACAAATCTATCTAGCATGAGACTATCACAAAGAGTTTTGAAGTTTTCAAATCCACGTTTGCCAGTGCCCTCTTGGCTCTTTGGGACCAGGTGTGAAAAAAGAAGGTTAAAACGTTTTTTTTTTAGGGGATTAAAATCTTAAACCTAACTTTCATGAACTCGAAACACAGTGAGATAGAGTTAGCGATTCAAACGAAGACACAGACAACATCCGTCTGTACAAAACTTTTGTAGCAACGTACCACAAGGTAGCCAATTGTTGATGTAAAACAAACAAAAGTTCACAACATATAACTATGTATTGTGCTTAGTTCATGTTGCAGTACCTATAGTTCTACTGCACATGGTGCTGAAAAGCAGGTTATTATTTAAATGATCTGACATGAGTTATGTTCACATGTTTAACGCTAGTGAGTAAAGCTGAGGATGATGTAGAGCCACAGCATTTCTTCAACAGCTCTCACTTCCCCACAGAGTTCAGACGAATGTGTTTCAAGTGTTTTTCTATGTTTTAAGTGTAATTGTTTCTGTTCCCACAGTTTAATGCACAACATTGTGGTAACTGCTTGAACATTCTGCAGTGTCTGCATTTTATTCATGAAGAACACATTAAGAAATAAATCTAACTATAACATTTGTAGTACATGGTTCTTGAAAACTACTTGATTTATCTATTACATGTCCTGAACTAAGTTAATTTCAGAAAGACCCTTAGATGTATTAAATTCAAGTTAATTGTATCAAATTGTTTTTTGTCAGATAATTGTGTGTTACAGGCTTAAATAAGTGTAGTTTACAAAATGTGGATTCAAATTGTTAGACTTGGAAATTCTGCTTTTTCAAAGTGAAACATTTTCCATTAATGGCTATACTTGATGGTTTAAAAAAAAAAAAAAAGAATACAAAAAAATCTGAAGTTCAACAGTTGGTACAGCTCCACAATTAGATGTTTGTCCTCATGTGTAAATAGCAGTTTGGACTTTTAACCTTTTTTTATATTGGAAGAAGTGGGAGGAAGGTGGGGTAAGAAAAGGAATGCCAGTACATTATACAATGGCTTCAAACCAACAGATGGTTTAATCAGAGCCTTCCAAAGGAATGATGAAGCAAAAGCATTGATGGTTTTAAAAAGTAAAATATGTAGTTTGTTTGATTCCCTGTGTTTTTCTTCCTTTCCTCTCCCCCACTCTTTCGTGGTATTCCTTCCATAGTACCACAAGACCATTGAGGCAGTGTATTCGGTGGAAAACTCTGTCGAGACTCTGCTGGACCTGCTGCAGAGATACCGTGAGAAAGCTGGAGATAAAGGGGCAGAAAAGGGCGGCAGCATCTTCACAAAGGCCTGCTTCCTTCTTGCTCTCCTCCTGCAAGACAAGTACCGCGTTGTGGTCCGTAGCTCCTCTGACATAAATACTGTTGAAATATGTTATTATAGAATTCACACGACCAAATTCTAATCTGACAGAAACTGCTATTGTAGTTTTGTAATAAATGTGAACTCTCTTATTTATAGGAGGTTATGAAGCTACCCAAAGTGTTGGATAGGCTACGCAGTATCTACCGCCTCACCGCTCGCAAACACAAGATGGACGCTGAAAGAACTGTTACGAAACAGAAAATGAACGCATCAATCAACGGGAGCTTTTTCTTTCAAGCGACACCTCGTAAATCCCGCCCTGTGCCAAAGTACGTTTTTAATTTGTCTATGTACAGTAAAGTATTTGTCTGAGATTCACAGATTTCATGTGTTTTGCAGTGGTAACTGACATCCTGTTTGTTTTTCAGATTTGCACCGGATTGGGTTCTCAGAAGGGACAAGCTCAAAGATATTGTGGATCCTCTCCGGGCCATTCAGATGGTGGCAAACACACTCTCTATTGTGTTGTAAATACAGGCTTTTAAATCTTCATTTTATCATCTCATTCTTGTGCTTCAGAAAATATAGTTTTTTGTATTGTTTGAGTTTTTTTTTACTATTGCATTTCCATGATTTCCATGTAAATATTAAAATGGATATGTTTCTTATACACGGGCCAGTTTCATCTATCTATCTAATGGGTTTTTATACTGAAATGAGGCTGAACAGGTGGGTGTTTAAATGAAATTCAGGGTAACTTGCTCCCAGGTGGGAAGTTTTAGCCACCTAATGTAATTGTTAGCACTGTTAACAAAGCACTCTACAATGAGGTATGTTAAAGCATTGGTAGAATTAATTATATGTACAATGATGTTCGTCATTGTATTAAGATGATTACATCTTTTAAATAGCTTCCCTATCATTAGACCTAAATATCTCCATGTCAATGCAGAATTGTATAACCAGACAATTATGGCATTCTAATTTTAATTGGATGGTGGTTAAAGTCTTAAATATGTTTATAAGGTTTCATGTCCTATGAACCATTTCGTGTAAAACAATGCAGCATTAAATGACTAAATAGGATCTGAAATCTGCAGTTTTTAAATTGAAAATAAGCTCCTATATTATGGGAACTAATGACTTGAAATCAATTCAATATCATATGACTAAACTAAACATTGGATACATCTCTTTATCTTTTATATATGTTTAATGTTTTAATTTAATTGTATACTAATATCTTTGAAAAATAAGCTGTTTCTTTCAAAATCAAATTTCTTTGCAATAGCTTTCATTTCATGAGACCCATTGACTTCCAATCCATACCAGATTTTATTTCTACGCTGGCTAAATTCTAATCATTTCTTTTTGCTCATGGTATGCTACAGACTGTATTTAGGAGTCAGAAAAGAGACAGATGTGTCATGTATGTTTTATTAACATTTATACAGTTGACAACATCAAAGAGGAGACAGAATCAGTTCATAACTCTGCATAATCAGTTTTTTACTTTGATCTACTGTTGACTAAAACTCTTGGCAAGTAGGCAAGACAATAACACCACTATTACACCTCTGAAGTAATGATACTGAACCAACAGGTATTCCTCTGGCACACCTAAACTCAATTATTTCATCATGAGGGAAATATGTACTGCCATTATATTTAACGGTAATATTATGTTGTCTATTGTCGTCTTCATTCACGATACAGGGTTCTGCAAGAGACAATCAACATAGCATTTGGATAAGGGCAGGAATGACTAAAGCATACTGCATTCACAACTTTTGCCAATGTTGGGCAATAGTTGAGCAATTTAGAGGGCTAGTTGGTGAGCTAAAATAATTGGAGAGCTGATTGCTTACATGCCAGCCAGCAGGCCCAGCACAAGTAATTCAAACTAACTCTCTGACCTTATTTCTGTTTACTCTGTGCTGTGCCATTCACTCTCCCCCTGGAATTATATAAATATACATAAATACTTACATAAATATAGCCCTCTGTTAGCTTGGGAGCTTAGCTTGGTTGCTAATGTGACAATAAGCTGACAGTTTATTTGAGACACATTGCCTCTTGGCACCTGACTGTTTACAAACCATTTCTCTTTTGTTGAACAGTTTAAACTCTGGCAGAGGAGGTTAAATAAAAGGGCCACACAGCTCAAATGCTAAAACAGCTTTCCATATTTCGTACTCTCTGTTATTGCCATGAACGTAGGTCAGGCGCAAATAAATGACATGTTGCATAAATGGATTTCATCAATTAGGTTTCCAATCAAATTACAACATGCAACGACTCTAACCATTTTAAAATGAAGTTTGATTTTCACTTTTCAATATTGCACATGTTATTAAAAGAAGAACCTGTAACTTACGGATGCATCTCGTGTGTCCAGTCCATACACCATTGACGCAGGTTTTGAAAGGCTCTCCCTCCATGGTGTAGTATGCCTGGCACATGTATTCAACCATTTCATTATGGCTGTTATTACTTTTCCTGGTGTACTTGAGGTCTCCATCGGCAATGATTGGTGCTGTGCCACAACCTAGAACTTCTAAAAAGTATATCATACAGTTCAGGTACTGGATTGTAGAAGTGACAACCATTCTCAAACATAAATATACTCTATATTTGTATGTACTGTAGACTAAAAAATAAGCACAGGAATTAAAATATATATAATGATATGTAGTTTTAGTGGGGATGATCCCATTTTATTTTGGCCTAATACCAATATGTGAGCCTTGAGTGTGAGAGGCTGCATGTGTTTAAAAGAGTATTCATAGTGTTCAGTCATGTGACCGGAGCAGAAACCCTGGCAACACCATAGAGCTATAGCAAAGGTGTAAGCAAAAGGCTGGTTGTATCTATTTTTTAACTTCACAAAGCTCCCTGCAAAAATGCTGACTTACTGATAGTGTGCATCAAGGGATCAAATTGAGTGTCCTTAAGCACTTTTGACAGAGTGGCAGACCAAAGCCCTCACTGACATTGTGGGAATGCGTCCAAAGTCTTACAATGTGCTATTACCAGTACTTTGCATAACTCTGTTTATATTACGTTCACAACATATTTATCGTTGAGTTCTTATATAACATATAGGAGACAAGCTTGTGTTGCTGGACATGATGCCTGAGACATTCTAGTTTTCAATAGAAACATTTAAATGTTTTAAAGAATACAAATCCATGTGAGACTGCAACTTTTGAACATGCTGTCGACATGCTAACATGCTGAATTTAACCAGGCTAAACTAAGATAGTTGACCTGATACCTTTACAGCATGCTAGCATTGCAATTATCAGGAGGATAACAAGATAGCATTGTCATTTAAATGAAAGTTTAGAGTGCAGTAAATCAAGAGAGGAGCTTCATTTATCATTTTCAAGTAAACAGGCATGTGTTGAGGGGAGAGAAAAAGCATGAAGTAGAAATTGTTCAACAGTACACATTTTGAAACTGATGAAACAGGGTCATCGAAGTAGTTAAGCAATTTAAAGTCACTGAAGATGTTATTTTTTAGCTGTTAAGAGAACACGCTAAGACCATGCTAATTAAACACCCAAAGCCAATCCCTCTATAATTTTCCTTTAAGCTGTATTTGTTGTATGATTTGTTGTTTGACTTTACCTGAACAGCTCTGAATCCCATTCCAACCATTTTCTTCACAGGTAAGAGTAACAATTATTTCAACGTTGTTCTTGCATGCATATCGGATGCGATCATTTAGGCTGTAACTTTCCCTTACAACGCCGATTTAGGTAGGGTGCAGTGGGAAAACATACAGTGCCTCAAGTGTCAGATGTATCTCTGCATTTCAAAAAAGGATGCAGTTCTACAAATGAGGGCTCAATATGTGTTGCATTGAGTTGTTGTGCTCTAATGTTGTCTAAATGTACTTGTATGTTAATGTTGTTACTATGCTTTGCATAACTAACACCCGGTGTCCTCTACAAAGGACACACAATAAAACAAAAATAAAAAAATATTTTTTTAGTTTTTGTTAGTCATGATGTTTATACCACCCTAAAGACTTGTGTGATCAAAAGAAAAATAAGTAAATTCCTGACTGTTCCTGTGTTTAGCTGCACTTAGTTCATGGGACTCTTTTTTTTAAAGTAGCCTTTACAGTAAACAATATAGTATATAGTAAAAACTCCCCCCCCATAGCCAAATATGGAAACAAAATAACAGATATCTTATAAACATAAGGTTTACTTCACAATACCTTCACAAAGTGGATTTGGGTGCCATCCATCTCGGGTGCATGTGGCACTGCTGGCGCCCATCTTTCCTCCTGTAGCCTGTCTCACACAAGTAACGTTCCGTCTCTCCCGATTTGAATGTTTGCTGCCGACGACTGGCCCATGAAGACACATGTGGGACTCCTTGTGTGCTGCACGTAACCTCTAGAATAAGAAAATGTTTTGTAAATCTCAAGTAATCGAGACATGATTGATAACCATCATCACAGCTTATGAAATATAAAAAAATAAAACAGCATTCACAGCAGTTTCATACCTTGGCATACAGGTCTGATAGTCCACTCTCCGTCCTCTTTGCATGTAGTTACGACTGAGGTCGGTTGATGCCCAAAAATCCAGTACTTGCCTTCACAATTTACTGTCACTTGGTCACCAGGTGGAAACGTGTTTCTAGAAGCAGGTTCATAGCTGGTTCCTTTCAGCCCTCGCAGTTGTAGTTTACATGTTATTGCTGTATTTGTTGAAAAATAAACACATTATCCGTCAGAACCTATATTTATTGGTAAGTGTCACCAGTACACTGCATTACTCAGTTTTTACTTACGTTCACACAGAGGTGTGGGGCTCCATTCTGCTCTTACTCCTTGCTCTGTGCATTTTGAAGATCTGGCTTCAGCGCGTGTAAATGAGGGTTTACACTGAAACTCCAGGACTTGATTTTCTTTGTACTCTTGGATTTGTCCAAGCACATCACCATTTTCAATCTCGGGTGCTGTACATATTATCTCTGTTGAATAATACACAAGCAAGAATAAAGATTTCTGAAAGGTCACCTATTGTGCAAAATCCAGTTTTTCATGCATCTTATACATAAACATGTGTCCCCTCTGTGTAAAGAGATTCTGAGAGGTTCAGGAAAAAAGATTTGCTCACTTTTTGTCCTGATCCATTATATTAAAACCTGTCTGAATATGAGCTGATCAGATTTCGGCCACTACACAAGCCAATTACACAAGTTATTGGCTTGTGTAACCATTAGCCTATAACCAACCAAGGTAACACCCCCCCCCCCCCCCCTTATCACCTGAATCTCCTCTAGAGCGCCATTGTGTTCTTTTTAACCAAATATCTCTCAGAGGGGCGTGGGGAGTGGCTCCTTATTTTCATCTAAAGTAACAGACAGAGAATCAGCCCTTTTGAAACAGGGCTGAAACAGAGGGGTTTATGGGATGCTACAATGCATGATCTGTTTGGTGTTTGGAGCCAAACACTTCAGAGACATGTTTTGTATATGACTGAGAACTATAATATATTGATGAAAAACAGTATAATAGGGGACCTTTA